CCTTCCGAGGTGGGTAAAATGAGGACCCGGATTGTTGTTGGGGGCAATATGCTGACTCTGTAAACCGCTTAGAGAGTGCTGAAAGCCCTATGAAGTGGTATATAAGTCTAACTGCTATTGCTATAAAAATAAAATTAGTCAATATCAGAAATTATATGCCAATAAAAAGTGGCAGAATTAAAACATGGGGGAAAAAACTGATTTAAAAAAAATCTATATTTCAAGGAAATTTATGGAAAGAATATTTGCCAGTGAACTCCTGTCTGAAAAGGGTAAAAAATTAGAGAAAAGCCAGCTGGATTTAAAAATGGTCCTGAATGCACTGATCAAATCTTTGTAATGCTATCTACTGGAATTGGGTTTTGAATTTGGTCAAAAAACAACCCTCTATACCATTTGTTGGTTTCAAAGGATCATTTCATAGTGTGGACAATGACAGGATTTGGCAATGCTTCGGGCAGACAAGATACCACATAAAGTACACCAAATCCCAAGCCCTTTGTCAGATTACAAGCTGTCAAAGTAGATCATACAGAGCAGGGTGGGTTCCTACCGACGTTGGTACTGGTTCGCTTTGTGTGTGCTGCGTACGTGTGTACCGTTCACTGTAAATTGTTCTGCGCATGCGCGAAGAATGTGAAAAACTACTAAAAAACATGCCGGCAACGGCAGCGGCGACCGAGGAACCAGTTAGAGAGTGTGGCCAGCCTGGATCGCTGCCGGTTCTGTGACCAAGGCCAAAATGACCGGTTCGCTTGAACCGGTACGAACCAGCAGCAACCCACCTCTGATAAAGATACTGGAATCAAGATTTCTCCATCTTACCTGATGTATGTCAAGGTGGCATTTGTCTTATCCCTTTTAATCAATATAGGCCTGGTTTGTATTTTGGAAAAAGTTACTGGCAATGTTACATAAAGATTTGGTTTAATACATGGATTTAACATTTATTAATGATGTCGCCGTCCTAATTGTCAGTCAGGAAGATCTGCAAGAAATGATTAGTCGTATCACAATTAAAACTGACAAAATTCAGTTATGGGTAATTCCCAGTGAAACCAAGTATCATCTGATTCCACCTGACTTTCCAATGATGCCACAAAAATAGGAAACTAAATAACCGGACAAGTGATTATCTTACATACCTCAGAATTGAAGTAAGAAGAAGTAGTGTAGGACACAAGAAGTGACATCTTGCTTGAACTGAGCATCCAATGTCCTTTTCTCTTTCTGGAAACAAAAAAGATACAACATAGTATTATTGTAGTCTGAATAAACCATGCAACAGAATCAACTACGACTATGAAACGAGGCCAGGGAGATTGAAGACCATAAAAAAACTATATGCTTTTGATCATTGATATAAAATTTTAAATAATCTGAAAATGAAGATGTCTGCAATCAATAAACACAAATTGGATTTCTATATAGATCTACAGATTCCATAGATGATAAGAGATCATCAGGGTAGTAACAAGATCCATATCAATCCTTAGTCTCTTAGATATAACACATTGCAAGCATGTTCAAAATATTTATCAGAAATCTATTCCATAATCATAGCTTGTGCTCATGCATAGCTAGTGCTCCAGAATATTATCGAAGAGATCAAAATAGGGGCAGCTTAAGCTATAAATCAAGAAATTTAGCACCAGAAGTATCTTTAAAGGAATATAAATTATTCCACCTAGCAGAGTGTAGGACAGTGATGGCAAACCTTTTCGGCACTGAGTGCACAAACCGGAACACATGTTCATGTGTGTACACCAGAAACCCAAAGACCAGATGGCTGGCATACATGCCTGTTTTTTGGCCACAGAACCAGTAGTAAAAAAAATTGAATCCCACCAGTGGCTGCAATGTATTAATGCTCTGGAGGTACTATGGAGAATTCATCTTGGATTCTCAAGATACATAACCCTGATTGCAATGGTGCTGATTCCATCACATCCCTCTTTAAACAATACACTATCTCAAGTCTGAATGTTTGCTTATTAAAAATGCAAAAATGAACCCAAAGCTGCCATTTACTGTAATAGATGTAATAAAATACTCATTTTCTCTCTCTCACTATGCCAACCTCCCTTAACTTTTACATTTATGATATGTTGGACCATTTTTAATAATTTTCACACCTAATAGGCATCCTAACTAGGAATATATGGCATTTGAAGATATGGCATATTCTGAGGGTCATTCAACTATAAGGGTGCTTGTGGTTTCCATCAAAATTACTTTGCAGTATATGCAGAAGTGGCAATGGAGATTTTTTCCTCTGGCTGCAAATATTTTACACATATTCAGCATTTTGCTTAAAATAATCTCATCCCTTGAGAAAAACAAATGGTAATTCTCTGAGCCTAGACTATTTTGGGTACCTCGTGGACAATTCAGATTTATGATACCGTGGCATCCAACAATGGGCCTCCATTTTTCAATTAGCATAGTTTTCAAATTCTTTTTTAAAAGAAATTCTCTAGTTTTTGTTTTTATAGGGCAATACTATATTGCCTTTTCAAAGGACTGGAGAGTAAAAACTAATGGAGCGGAAAGAATAGAGAGAGAAAACTCTTGTCTTCCATATGAGAGATGATGAGGATGTTATCCATTCAATTGTGTCCGACTCTTGGTGATTCTCTGGCCCAGATCTCTCTAAACCTTCTGATCTTACACTGCTTCTTTGTGTTTTTCAATGCTCTGGCTGGTGTCAGCTTTGATGGTGTCTGGCCACTGTGTTCTTTGGTGGCCTGATTTCCTTTTACTGCTAATTCCTCTCAACATAATTGCTTTCTCCAGCGAATTCCCCTGCATGACATGGGCAAAATAAGTGAGGCACAGGTTTGTGATTTTCCCTTACAATAATACAATAGCAGAGTTGGAAGGAACCTTGGAGGTCTTCTAGTCCAACCCCCTGCCTAGAGAGGAAACCCTACACCATTTCAGACAAATGGCTATCCAACATCTTCTTAAAGACTTCCAGTGTTGGGGCATTCAAAATTTCTGGAGGCAAGTTGTTCCACTGATTAATTGTTTTAACTGTCAGAAAATTTCTCCTTAATTCTAAGTTGCTTCTCTCCTTGATTAGTTTCTACCCATTGCTTCTTCTTCTACCCTCAGGTGCCTTGGAGAATAGTTTAACTCCTTCTTCTTTGTGGCAACCCCTGAGATATTGGAACACTGCTATCATGTCTCCCCTAGTCCTTCTTTTCATTAAACTAGATATACCCAGTTCCTGCAATGATTACACAATTATACGTTCCAAAATACATGTACATTAAAACGGTAAATGTCTGTATGATTAATTGCATTGTTTGTAATATTGTCAAAATTTACAAGATGTTAGTTTCCACTATCCTCTATCTTCTATTGTAACACAGGTAGTCCTAGACTTACAACTACCATTAGGACCAGAATTTCAAAATCGCTAAGAAAGTTGTTAAGTGAGTTACACCCAATGTTACAACCTTTTTTTTTTACCATGCTTAAGCAAATCACTGCAGTGGCTAAATGAATCGTGTGATCTTTAAATGAATCCAGTTTCCCCCATTCACTTTGCTTGCTGGAGGCTAGTATGGAAGGCTGCAGATGACCTCATTACACTGCAATCATTTTCATGCTGGTTGTGGAGCATCTAAATTTTGATCACGTGACTGCAGGCATACTGCAACAGTCATAAGGGCAAGGACTGATCATAATTACAGGTAGTCCTTGACTTACGACCAGTGGTGGGTTCTGGATCCCGTTCCAACCGCTCTGGTTGGAACGGGCCTGGTGGCGTCCACATGGACGCGCGCAGCACGCACATGCATCTTAGCGCCTCCGTGAGCCTCCATGATGCTCCAGCTGCCCCGTGGAGCATCGCGCAGGCACTGTACACGCCATGCGTGTGCGCGACAGCGCAGAAGCCTTAAAAGACAGCTAAGGAGCTCGGGTGGGTAGGTGGGCCCTCCGGAGCACCGTACCAGAACAGTATCCAGTGCTCCTGGTAGGCTCTGGTACNAAATGAAAATGGAAAATAAAAACACATTTACAAAGGTGAATCACTCACAAGTTTATTGCCAGATTGGAAAATCTTCTTTATATTCACCACCATCCGTATATATTGTACAATGAAGTCTGTGATCTTTTTCTTATACTTTCTGATATTCTAATGCACCCCTATTAGACAACAATGGAAGCTCCTAAGCTTACCTTGTGGTTCATTAACCAATGTGAGGCACTTTAAGACAGAAGGCAGCAACGTCTCAACATCACATATTTCAATGCTTTTGGTCCTTTGCAGTGCTTCAAGAGTGAAAGCTAACACCAATCCTAGGCGAGGAGGGGCATTACCTTTGAACTGTAGATAATTTTCACTGGAAGAAAATAAAAAGGAATCATTCTATCATTCTTTAGGATTAGTAATGAGAACCATATGTTTGCATCCCAAAGGTGCTTTTTTCAAGAGGCAACTGAACTTTCTGGTTTTTCTTTGAGAGCTGAAGAAGCTTCTTGGATGAGAAGCGTAACGTCTTCAAAGAAAAACCAGAAAGTCCAGTTGCCTCTTGAAAAAAGCACCTTTGGGACAACCATGACCCAGATGGCTCAGAATGTCCATATACACATTTGTATATTCTTCAGCTGCATTTTCAGCCAAATAATTTTACATACATGCAGCATGTTCTGATGGAATTAAATCCATCCAGATATTTTTCAGCTCAAAAGTTCTGACTGGGTTTTTTTTCTTTCCAATATCATGCTTGTATCGCTTTCAAAGTAAAGACACCAAAGCTTTTTTTTTCTCCACCAATTTAGCTGTTCAAATGCCAACCATTGATTTTGTTTTCTAGATGCTACCTGATGACTTGGACAGTGGTCTTGTGTAGTTGAATGGCTTCTGGAGTGGCAGTAGACCCGCACAAGGCCAGCAAGATGGGATGATGCCCGGCTCGAGATGACAGAAGAAGAAAGCGCCCCAAATACTGGCGAATCACATCCCGTAACAATTGGTTCAAATAGGCACTCTGACTTTGTGACTGGCAATGGCAACATATAAAGGACAAGCCCTACAGAAAGGGGGAGGGGAGAAAATAATAATTTGCTACATTTAAATTGTGAATGCAAAACATCGCTATCATCAGGACATCAAATGAGTCTTCTGAAAGTAGAATCTGCTGGAAACATCCTATTGAGAATTACTGATGGCATCACTACTCCAATATATCTTAAATTTCAAACATATCAAGTGGGTGTTTTATTTCTTAAAATGTATAAAAAAGGGATGAGATTTTTTTTATTAAAAAAAACAGGAACATATGTACTATTTCTGTATTTGTTATCGGAGCTTGGTCATTTCCACTTGCTTTGCCCCATATCTAGGACAAAGAGTATTTTTCTAGAGACAGGCAGGAGGGTTGCTGTAAATATAACAATGACCTATTAACTTAGGTCATGTGACCCAGGTGAAGAAGAGGATTCCACTTGCGGCTGAGGGTGTGAAATATGAAGTATTTTCTGACAGTTCTTCTCTGTTCCTTATTATCCTCAATCACAGATAGGTGGGCAAAGATTTTATTTTTATTCATTTGTATCATGCCTTTATTATTTTTACAAGTAACTCAAGGTGGAAAGCCTATCCAACACAACTTCCCCCTCCTATTTTCTCCACAACAACTCTGTGAGGTGTGTTGGTTGAGAGACTGGCCCAAAGTCACAATCTTCTTGTTAGGCCCCTTAATGAGAATTATTGAACAACTTTGAAATTGTACATAGAATGTTAGTATTATATTACTAAATAGAATACTTCTATTAATAAAATAATGAATGTTGGTATTCATAATTAATGGTATGTTATATTTAGTTTTTGATATACCATATTTTTCGGTGTGTAAGACAATCCCCCCCCCCCAAGTGGGTGAAAATGCCTGTGCATCTTATATAGCGAATGTTACCAAAGCCCCACTCACCCGCTAGCCCCCACCCTTTGGCCTCTACCTCCCAGCAATTTGCCTCCTTGCAGCAACTAGCAAACAACCGGTTTAGCTTCAGCACAGCCTGATTTAGCATGAGCAGCTGATTTGACAGTTGGATCTTCCTCCCAGAATACTGCCTATCAGCTGTTCCAGGCTGCAGGGATTGCCACCGCCAATGCTGCTGCCACGTATTGCTTCATGTGCTCCTTTTTTGGCCTCCGCACTTCCTATTTTCAGCCTCTGCATGCCCCATTTTCAGCGGGCCTGAAGCCTCCTGGGACCAAAAATGGGCCGTGCCCCCCCCTGCGCCACACCCCCCATGCATGCTTCCCACACACATGCGCATGCCACCCCCATACATGCACAACAGAGATCCAAAAATCAGCTGGTCGGTGGGAGGCGCGCACGCATGTGCGGTGGAACTGAGTTTGGGCAATGGCTTGCGTGCCTGCAGAGAGGGTTCTGCATGCCACAGGTCCACCATCACGGGATTAGAATATCTCCAAGGTCCCTCCCAACTTTGTTATTCTAAATATATATGTATTAAAAAACAAACAGTATTAATAAAAATGTTAAACATCTTCATCTAGCCCCTACGTTTACTTGTAAAACAACATGCCACATTTGAAATGCAATCCAGCACTTGAAACACTTCAGAAACTTGGTGTGGATGATCTCAAGCAGACTGCCTTTTCCCCCCAAACCAAATTCTACTTCATAGAGAAGTTGGTTCAGGGGGTTAGCCACAAAATACCCAATAGCAGCTGGGATAAATTGAAATCCCCTGAGGTTCTGAAACGACCCTTGAGCCTTCTGGTTCCATATAAAAGTCTATTTTTTAATAATCAGATGAGTAGAAAATCACCCCTTGGTATTACCTGCTTGAACTTCTACCCATTAATGATCCATGTAAGGCTTTCGAGACTGTTTAGGAATACTTAATTTTATTGAGGTCTAACTCTAGGTGCTACTCTCTACAGAAGAGTGATAAAGATTATGGTGTAGTCCATGGTGATATTCATTGGACCAGGGCATAATTTAAGTATAGCACCATTGTCATGTGCCCATTCTGTAACATTTGGTTGACGGCATTTTCTTTAGTTAAAAGATTGACAATGTAAAAATTAAGTTAGCCAAGGGACAATATACAAATAAGGTATACAATTTATTATACAATCATATAAAAGTTCCAAACAAATTTTAACATGTTATTTGGTCATTAATATAAAACGCCTAGCTTACATTTTATATATTTGACCAAAAATTCAATTATGTAATTCAATTGTGCAGGGATAACTGACATAAACATTGTTCACATAATTCATACAATAATAAAACAAAATAAAGTCCTCTTTTGGGATACTAGTTGTTGAAGATTACTTATCTATGGTTAAAAACAGTTTTTTTTCTTATCTTGCTTCTGTCCAATAATTTAATGTTTTAATTTTAGTACTTGGAATTAATGGTTAAACTCATCAAATTAAAAAATGAAAAGCAATGTCAGGAAACCTTGTGCGAAGGACCCCAATATTTTACAACTTATTTAAAAAACTATGAATGCTTTGGAGTATTCATTTCTAATCCTTTTTCTAATTTTATATGAAATGTATGCTTGTTTTAGCTAGAATGAAGAATTTTCTCTTCATGATTTTTTGTTTGTTCTGTGCATTTTTTCCTTCTATCTGTCTAAATAGATTTTGTTGAAAATGCTTTCTAAGATTAACAAGAACAGAAGTAAATCATGATTCCATAACTATATGGAGTTAGTATTAGAGAATTCATGAAGTATCTTATATTGAATTCCCACTAGCAAAATGATCAAGTGAGAACTAGCATGTTATCAGCAGAAGAAAGCTCTACCACCGCCACTGCCGCCAAGGACTATGATGGGCGGACAAAGGGCAGAGAAAGGGCAGGGGGGGGGGAGTTGAAGCCCTTAAGCATTTGTAAGTGGGCACAGGCTGCCAAGTTCCCAAATTTTGGGCATGCGACAGTGGTGGTACTGCAATGGCTGTTAACTTCAGGGTCTGTGTGTTACATAACATATGTTCAGCACCATTGTAACTTCCGATGGCCACCAAACAAATGTTGATTATGTGAGGAATATCTGTAATTAGTGAATGATAAATAAGCAATTATTTGTTTCACAAGTTCAGTTAATTTTTGATTTTTTTAAAACACATAAGGGAGAGAAATGTGCCTAGGTCAGGTATTTGAACAAGTAGCAAATACTTTTTGAGATAATTAAAATCGAGCCCTGAGCAACATGTAATCACCCCCAATCTTGCAAAACTCATGAGTTTGCCGACATATGCATGTGCTCATTGTTACTTCTATTATGCAAACACACGATACTGTAGATTTTTTTAAACCCACCTTTTACTACTTTCATAAGTAATTCAGGGTGGCAAACAAGACACAATACTCTTCCTTCTTCCTATTTCCTCCACAACAACCTTGTGAGGTGAGTTTGGGCTGAGAGAGAGTGACTTGCTAAGGCAGGACCAGAACTCACAGACTCCTGATTTCTAGGCCAGCACCTTAACCACTACATCAAAGTGGTGTGTGTGTGACTGTGTGTCCGTGTGTGTGTTTTCATATGAACATAGTATAGAGAGACCAGCGCACCTGAAGGAAAAATGGGAGATTCTCACGAATGGCAGCCAACATCACTGCAGGAAGTTCTTTATCCTGCTGAAGCACAGCATGGGGCAAAAGCAAGCAATCTATAATGCGGAACAAGAGGGGCTGTGCTTTGGAAGTAGCCAATATGGCTGCCCAGGACTTCATAAGGCATCCTGTCGAAATAAAATCAAGAAAACCAAAAGTCGAAATTGTAAAAAGAGAGAGAGGAAGCATGAAGAAATATTTCTGCCGGATTTCATCTCTACCGGTAACTATAGCAACCAAATAGTCACATTTCCATATATCCCGCTTAATAATCCTGGGGATGGTGAACGTCCATTTATACAGTGAACTAAAAATGAGAGTTGTGAACTTTGGACTGAAACTAAATACGTCAGGGAATAGTATACTGAAAGAAATAATGCTAATGTATGCTACTTTTGTACTTTGTATTTACTGTTTGGTAGGATCATTTTTAATGCAAATTGCTTTTGCCTTTTGTTTTTCATCGAAAGCAGTAACATACTTGGTTAATAAATGAACAAATAAATATAAAGCAAAACAAATGTTATGAATGCACAAAACATTCAACGACGTATTTTGAATCCCCCTTCACTTCTCTAAATAGGAAATATCACTGGGAAAAAGGATAGCCTTGCTTCAAATACATCAACAGAAACCTCACAGAATGACGGAGCCTGCATTCGAACAGAATGTGTGACCCACTTTCATTCTTCACAATTTTTTTTTAGGTCTGCACAGGAAAAACGAATCAAAACTAGAACCATCGATTGACTTTGAATACCACAAGAAGATCAATAGATTTGCTATTCTGAGAATGATGGTGTCAACACAGCCGTAATATGCTGAAATTCCTTCTAATGGAGATGCATTCTGGAATTTCTTATGCTGCTCTTCCAAATAAGTATAACTGAAAGACTGACAGGTATAACTTGCAATATTTTTATTTAATATATTTAATGCTATTTCTTAAGTAAGAACGTTAAAGTAAAGCAGACATTAAAAAAGAACGTTCGTTATTAAAAAAACAAAAATTGAAACTAAGTACTATAATATTTTCTCTCCCCCACTTTTTAAATGTATAATATTGACACAAAGATGACCTGGGTGAAGAACTTTTAATAAAATATGTAATAGTATGCAGCTCTGAAGAACTGAGNTAGTTCCCCTCCCGAATGATGAATGTATGTTGTTTATTATTTTATTATATGTCTTATCTTAATGTCTGTATTTCCCCTTCCCCGATTTTATGTGAGCCGCCCTGAGTCCCCTCAGGGAAAAGGGCGACCTACAAATATTAATAAAATCTCAAAAAATCTCAAATCTCAAAATGTAGAAGAGAGGCTGAACATTAAAGAGTAGGGAGGTCCTTCTCTCGGTCATCATGCCCTAGTCCAGTGATGGCTAACTTTTTTGCCATCGCATGCCAAAAGCAGGGGGAGCACGGAGATCATGCGCACGTGTGCCCTCCACCACACATGCACATGCGACCCCCCCTGCATGCGTACAGGACCACCCCGTGCATGTGTACGTAACCCATTTTTGGTGATGGCACAGTTGACCCAATTTTTGCCCTCACCAGGCTCCAGAGGCTTTCTAGGAAAGCCTCCCTGCCCCCTGCAGGCCCTCCGAAGGGCGGAAACAGTCCGTTTCCCAACTTCCGGGTTGCCTGTAGGGACGTTTCTCCCCCTCCAGAGGCTTCAGGGAAGCCACCTGAAGGAGAAAAATAGCCCAAATCGCAAAGCGGAAATTCGGGCAAGAAACTTCGTTTGGTGGAACTGGAAAAAGAGCTTTTTCAAAATGTGGGTGTGCTATTGTGTTGGGGATCCTAAGGAAGTAGAGGTAGTCCTTGACTTGCAATGGTTCATTCAAAGCGACAATGGCACTGAAAAATGTGACTTATGACCATTTTTCACAGTTACGACCTTTGCAGCATCTGCAGCATCATGTGATCCAAATTCAAACGGTTGGCAACTGGTTCATATTTATGACCGTTGCTGTGTCCCAAGGTCATGTGATCACCTTTTGCGGCCTTCCAACAAGCCGTCAATGGGGAAGACAGATTCACTTAACAACAGGATTACTAACTTAACAACTGCAGTGATTCACATAACAACCATGGCAGGAAAGGTAGTAACATGGGCAAAATTCACTTAACAAATACCTTAACAACAGAAGTTTGGGGTTAGTCGAGGACTCCCTATATGGAACGCATTTAGTTGTTTAAGAATCATATTATCAAATGGCTATGGTAGAATGAACCTTGGAGGTTTTCTAGTCCAACCTTTTGACCGAGGTAGGAGTCTTTATACCAGCCCAGAGAAATGGTTCAATCTTTTCTTGAAAACCTCCAGTTATGGAGCACCCGCAACTCCAAGAGGGAAGTTGTTCCATTGATTGATCATTCCCATTGCCAGAAAACTCCTCCTCATTTCCAGTTGGATCTTCTCTTGTCCTGCCTTCAGGTGGTATGAAGAATATTGTTTGACTGCTATCATATCTCCCTAAGCCTTTTCTTTGTTAGACTAAACATACCTAATTCCCTTAGCTTTTCATCATACAATTTAGCCTCCAGATATCTTATTATTTTTACTGCTTTTATTACTGCTTTTCTCTGCACACGTCTTATATAGCCTCAACATTTCCTTTTTGTATCTCGGAGATGAGAACTGTACACAATATTCCAAATATGGCCTCACTAGTGCAGTACAGAGCAGTGCTATCACCTCCTGTGATCTTCATACCGTCCCTCTGTTGATGCAACCTAGGATATGGTTGGCTTTTTTGGCAGCTGCAACCACACCGTTGACTCACACTTAAGCAGTGGTCCACTAGGACACTTAATTCCTTCTTTACAGGCACTCCTGTTGTGCTAGCAACTGCCTGTCTTGATCTTGCACGTCTGGTTTTTCCTTCCTAAGCGCACAAGTTTACTTTCCTAACCACTGAAATGCATCTTGTTAGATAAACTGAGATACCTGCTGCTCCTCCAACTTTCCTCTGACTGCATTCTATGCCAAGGTTCATTTTTCTCTATTGAAATGTACAATCTAATAACCCGAACTGTGTAGAAGAAAACCAAAAATGCTAAAATAAGAACGCCATTTAGTGTTATTTGCTATCTTCAGTGAGAACAACAATCCATGTGAACAATGCAAATAACTACACCATTTCATGGCATTCATTGGGAAATGCAAAGGGTTAGAAATTGCTCTTGGGAAATCACTAATAAGACGTTCTGTTATAAAGTCTTACACACATTAATTATCTGAAATACCATAATAGGGTGTTGTAGTAGTACATCTGAGGTAATGAGAAGATACTGTGAAGTGAAACCAACTTTGCAAAGAAACCTGGGAAGATAAGGTTGCTTTCTGAATGTTTGAAACTCTATGTGAATCAGGAAGTTTAAAAAAATACAATCCTAAATTGCATTTACTAGATAATAGTTATCTGAAAGTGAGAGAATTTTAAAGAGAATGTAGATACAAAGATAAGGCGTCCCAGATGCATTAACTTGACAGGATAATTGTACTTAACATTCATTGAACTCAACAGCTATTTTGATAATAAAGTTTGAAAGAGGGAAATGTAATAATTTGGGAAATAACATCTCTTATCTCCTCTTTATGATTACCTGTCAAAGATGAATTATTAAATAAATAGCAAAATGAGAAGACTAACCAGCCAGAGTCTAAAGAGGCATTTCCTTCTGCAAAGCAACATTTCAAGCCTTCTTGCCTTTCTGTCTCAGATTAATAATAAGTAAAAAATCGTTAGCATACTAGTGATTTGGACATTAACATATATTCCATGCTTTAGACAATTTTTGATTCTACCTAAAAGGTAAAAGGTAACGGTTCCCCTCGCACATGTATGCTAGTCGTTCCCGACTCTATGCGGCAGTGGTCATCTCCGTTTCAAAGCCAAAGAGCCAGCGCTGTCCGAAGACGTCTCCGTGGGCATGTGGCTGGCATGACTAAATGCTGAAGGCGCACGGAACGCTCTTACCTTCCCACCAAAGGTGGTCCCTATTTTCCTACTTGCATTTTTACATGCTTTCAAACTGCTCGGTTGGCAGAAGCTGGGACAAGTAACAGGAGCTCACTCCGTTCCGCAGCGCTAGGGATTCGAACCACCGAACTGCCGACCTTGCTGATTCACAAGCTCAGCCTCTTATCCACTGAGCCACTGCGATCCTACCTAGCCATCTCCAAATGTTCTGGGACTACAACATTCTGCCCAGCACATGAAAGATGCCAGCTTGGGGATGATTTCATCCTCTGACATACAGGTAGTCCTCAACTTTCAATAGTTCATTTAGTGACTGATTGAAGTTACATTGGCACTAAAATAAATTATTTGGTTGAAATAGTTTTCACTGAGCTCTGACACACCATCTGCTTGAGTTTCGAATAATCCCCCAAGTACTTCATGCCATCACATGTTTCTCTTCTTTTTTTTCTCCTCATGCGCAATTCCCAGATGTGCTCAGGGCCTCCCTTAAACATGAACTGGGAGGTGGAGGAATGGAACAGATGGCCTTCCAAAGGTAGGCAGAGTTCTTTAGTAAACCTACACTGTTTTCAGCCTTCATTTTCCAACTGTTAGCAATATAACCTGTACCAGATATGTGTTGTAATACTTGGGTGAAGGTATACTTTAAGACTTTTGTTTTTAATATAGAGAGATACTTCTCAATATTGCTTCCAGGGCCTCATATATAAAAAAATATAAAAAATCCTTGGATACTGAAAGTGATAACCAAAATGAACAAACAGCTAGAGCAATTTCTCTGTGAAGAAACTGGATTGTCCTCTTTTTTCTTGATTTCATCTACCTTTTGCTGGGATCAAATATCAGAAAATGTTACATGTTCCAGATTACTTATGAAAGAACTCCATGGTCCCAATCTCGACGTAAAGTCTTGAAAGACAGTATTGCTTATTTCCCTGTTTTTAGTAAACATTTTTTTTCTCCTATACTTCACTTTTATTAACCTCAAAAAGATTTCTTTTCTTCTCCTAATTCTAAAGAACCTCTGCACGGCAACTTTGTACCGGTTTAGAATCAGTTTGTAATATCTGTCAGTGGTTTTGATGGTGGTTTTTTTTTAAATCCCCAGATTCATACTTCGTTTATTTGAAATTGT